CAAGGAACACAAGATGAGCCAGCCGAGGAGGTGAAAAGGTTGAAAGTTGTTATCGAAGCAAAGGATAAAGAAATTCTGCAATTAAGTAAGTCTGTCGAGACATACAAAGGGATAGCGGAGCAAAACAAGCAATTATATGAAAATGAACGAGAAAAGCGTCAAGAGCTGAAAAGGAAGTGCGGAGAATTGTATGACCAAACTGAACATGTTAGAGTTCCATATGCTAGAGAAACTAGGGACTCTGTATTAGATAGGCTCAGAAGTTTTGCAATCTTGTACGGAATCGTCTTCGTGACATGATGTAAATATTGACAAGCCTTATCAATGAAAACGATTTCTCTTTCGCACTGATTTAGCATTGTTGTCAAAAACAAGTTTGTGTTACGGGTCCCATTTCGAAGGTGTTGCATCATACTAGGCCTACCCTTGGCACAAAAAGGGCCCCCCAATAGGACATGCATCCGAATTTTTTGGATATCTACTAACTCTTGTCTTTTTCTTTTTCTTTGTTTTATTTTTGTTGGAAAAGCTAAGCCAGGGCTAAATCTAAAAGCAAGTCATTTCATATTTTCAGGTAATATTTAAACATAGCTTCTCGTCGGAGCCCCATCATAACGCGATCCCGCAGTAGAGCCCAGGGAGTCGTGTAAACATGAGTTCACAACCGGAACAATCGGACAGGTCTGCTACTACCGCCCAGCCTGAGACTACGAGTTTGGGGGTTCAGCTAACCGAAATGCTCACTAAATTTGGTGAGATGGCTACCGAGATGGCAACCCAAAGAAAGTTGATTGACGAGCTAATCAGCAGCGGAGTTCAACCTGAACCTGTACCTGTCAGACAGCCTGAGCAAGAGCCATTTGTCATACCTTCGACTCAAGCCACTGTTACTCCACCCTTCCCTATTCCACCCGAAGAAACTTTCACCTATCCTACCACAAACTTGCCATACACTTACCCCCCTAATCCTCCATTTTTTCCTACTCATATGCGAGGTCCACAACCCCACGTCACATCAAATATACCACTTGAGCCACATACCTTTTATCACCCTGCTGCTGAGCCATTCCTGCCAGACCATACTGTTCAAACCAAGCCAGAAATGGGGGAATCTTCTGCTCCCGTTGATATGAAGCTGCTTAAGCGCCTTGACCGTTTTGATGAATTAATGAGGAAAAGTCAAGGGTTAAACAAGCAAGGAGTTCTGGATTACGACGAGTTTTGCCTTTTTCCGAATGTGCAGTTGCCTGAGGGGTTCAAAACCCCTAAATTTAACAAGTATGATGGAACAGGCAATCCTAAAACACATCTCCGGCTGTTTGCTAACAAGTTGAGAAAGCCTGTAGACGACGAGAATTTGCCTTTAAGGTTATTCTCCGAAAGTCTGGAGGGGGATGCACTCGACTGGTACTCCAATCTGAAGCCCGAAGAAGTAAAAACTTGGATTGACTTATCCAATGCTTTTGTGAGGCAGTACGAGTATAACTGTGAGCTGGCTTCGACACGAACCACGTTGGAAGGAACGAAGAGAAAACCCTCCGAGGATCACAAGACTTATGCCAAGAGGTGGAGAAAAATAGCTGTAAAAGTCGAGCCACCAATGACCGAGGAAGAAATTATCCGCACTTTCATTAAGGCACATGATCCGTCGTATTTTGAAGAAATTTTTCGCATGACTGGATGCTCGTTTGCCGCTATTGTCAATAAGTTTGAAGAGTTCGATGACTTTGTAGGAGTTGAAAAGATTGTTAATGTCTCTGCCCTCAAATCCCAGTTGGATGCTTTACAAGGACAAGGGAGTAGTGGGAAAAATCCGTAATTTAAGAAGAAAAAGGGGGAAGCTGCCTTCATCTGGGATCAAAACCCTACACCAAGACCCCGATTTCAACGCCAACCAACATATTCACCTTATCCCTACTATCCAAGCCCTCACCCTGTCTACAACACCAATATTATCCATCCTAGACCTCGCCCAAATTACACCAACCCGCCTACAGCCCCTTTCCAAATATCCCAACCTAGCTTTCAACAAACTCGTCCTCGACCCCCTTACCATCAAAGAGTTCCCCCACCGAACAGACCCATCTATAATCATCCCCAACCTACTGAAGCCTACAATCAAAATCACACCCGAACCTTCACCAACCTTGGCAGGCCTTTGGATCAATTGTATGAACAATTAAGGGCTGCCGGTAAAATAGGCGTGATTCCCCCTCCAACTTACCCGTATGGCATGCCGGCTGGGTATAATCCACAAGCTACTTGTGCTTATCATTCAGGAGCACCTGGTCACTCCACGGCCAATTGTCGACTCCTTAAACATAGAGTTCAAGACATGTTAGAAGCAGGGGAAATCGTGATTAGAAAAAGAGGAGAGCAAGGACCGAATGTGAGCAAGAACCCCTTGCCGGAGCACGCTGATACTGTGGGAGTTATTACGGATGATGAGAAATTTGAGGAGTTTGTCCGAAGCGTGTCAAATAAGACAGAAGTATTTAGGATAATGGACCAACCATTTGTGATAGAGGAGGCATCGTATGAGGAAGACAAAAAGCCCTTCATTTTAGACCTAACCCTATCTGAAAGTGCGGCCTTAGAACCTGTAGTAATTGAATTCCCAGAACAAGCGCCAGTTTTAAGCCTACGACAAGTGCCGTGGAATTATAGTGAGCCCGTTTTGCAAATCGGAGGAAAACCAGTTTTGAAGGAAGAAGTGTCTGCTGTTATGAGGTCAGGGAGGATTACCAGTCCATCCGCCGCTAGTCCCCAGTCCAAGGAAGCAATTGTGAACCGACTACCAAACCTGCAGTGACCGAAAAAGAAGCATGAGATTTTTTCAAGAGGCTTAAGAGAAGCGAATACAATGTGGTTGAGCAATTGAACAAAATGCCTGCCCAAATTTCTATCCTAGACTTGCTTTTCACTTCAGACTTGCATAGGGATGCATTACTCGAAATGTTGACTAAGGCTCGTATTCCCAAGGATATTTCGGTTGACAATTTCTCGCACATAGTTGGGAATGTACTAACTTCCAAACAAATCACCTTTTCTGATGAAGAGCTGCCTGCGGAAGGAACTGGTCATAATAAGGCCTTGTACGTAGCTGTGAGGTGCAATGGAAGAATGTTGCCTAAGGTACTGATCGACAATGGGTTTGCCCTTAATATTTGTCCTTGGAGCACATTGGTCAAATTAGGGCTGCAAGATGTCAAACTAAAACCCTCAGAGACCGTAGTTCGAGGATTTGACGGAGCCCAAAGAGAGTCCCTAGGAGAAGTAAATTTGGTGGTCGAAATGGGGCCCGCTCAATTTCAGATAGCTTGCCAAGTTATGCATTTTTCTAGTGTCTATAATGTTTTGCTTGGACGGCCGTGGATCCATAGCTCGGGCGCTGTACCCTCTTCCCTGCATCAAGTGCTGAAATTTGTGGTGAACGACCAGCTGGTAACCATTTTTGCTGAAGAAAATTGCATTGTAATTGCTGATTCCGAGCCTGAGGAGGATGGTAACCGAAATGCTTCAGTGTCTTCTTATCGTACAGCTGATATTGTCTCTGTGAGTTGGATAACGAGCGAGGGGTCAAAAGACGAAAGGGTTTTGCCAGCGGCCAGTGTCATGATGGCCAAGGAAATGATTCGTGGAAGATATGAATTTGATGAGGGATTGGGACGCAATCTACAAGGCATTCTGAAGCCCGTGGAACTCATCGAAAAGAAGGACCAATTTGGGTTGGGATTCCGTCCGACTGTCAGAGATATACAAGAGATGAAAGCGCGCAAAAGGGCAGAAAAGGAAGGCAAGTTAGGTGCGCTAGACATTCCGCTATTACGCTATACCTTTCCAAAGCCAGCTGAAGTCATTACATCTGAGTTTAGCCCAATTGACGAAGTGGAGACAAGCTTGACTCATTTGTTTGTGGGAGCAATATCCGAAAATGGCCCGTCAGATGATGCCGAATTCCCAGACATTCCCGAATGAGCTATACACAACTGGACCGCCGAGTACTTCCCCGTGCGAAAGGAGTTTCGGTAAATCTACATGGGGTTGTCATTTGCTAAAGTTCATGAAAACTTTTTCTTGCATATGTAAATAGTTCAATGAAAGCATCTTTTGCACTTACGTTTTAGCTTGTTTCCGCTTTGATTTGAAGTTTTATGAAAGTGCATAGTTTGTTTTATCATGCCGTTCATTCATGTGTCTATTTGCTTATTGTCTCGAATTTCTTAATTCTTTCAGATGGCCAAAAATAAAATTATTTGACCCTATGGATATCACTGTTCCGGAATCCAATAATGACAATCTCTATATCACTCACGACTTGGAAGTTATGCAATCTAAATCACAAGACGAGAGTGATAGTGAGGAAGTGTTTGATTCTTTTTCAAAAGATCTTGAACAATATGAGGAGAAACCTAAACCGAACCTAGAAGAAACAGAAATTGTCAATGTTGGCACTGAGACTGAGGTTAAAGAGATACAAATCAGCATTCATTTGAACAAAAAGCAGAAAGAGGAGATAATTGAATTTTTGTCTATGTTTCAAGATGTGTTCGCATGGTCTTATGATGATATGACTGGCATTTCGACAGATGTAGTGGTGCACAGATTACCTATAAACCCAGCTTTTCCACCAGTAAAACAAAGGCCTCGTAAATTCAAACCAGACATGAGCCTCAAAATAAAAGAGCAAATTGAAAAGCAGCTTAAGACTAACATTATCATTGTATCCCATTACCCTGTTTGGCTCTCAAACCCAATTCCTGTCCCAAAGAAAAATGGAGAAGTGCGAGTCTGTGTTGATTATAGGGACCTCAATAAGGCTAGCCCTAAAGATGACTTTCCTTTGCCAAATATCCATATCATTCTAGACAACACTGCCGGACATGAAATTGAGTCTTTTTGTGATTGTTTTCGCTGGATATCATCAGATCTTAATGGCCGAAAAAGGTAGGGAAAAAACTGCTTGTATCACCCCTTGGGGAACTTTTTGCTATCGAGTCATGCCGTTTGGTTTGAAGAATGCCGGAACTACTTATCAAAGGACTATGACTACATTGTTTCATGATATGATCCACCAGGAGATGGAGGTTTATGTGGATGACATTATAATCAAAACCAAGAAAGCCGAGGACCATTTAATTGATTTAAGAAAGTTATTTGAAAGGTTGTGGAAGTACAATTTGAAGCTAAATCCTGCGAAATGCGCCTTTGGAGCACCAGCTGGGAAAATGTTGGGATTCATCATTAGCAAAATGGGCATAAAGATAGATCCTGCAAAAATCAAGGCAATTCGAGACATGCCAGTGCCAAAAACGCAAAAAGATGTGAAAAGTTTTTTAGGGAAGATTAATTTCATTGGAAGATTCATTACCCAATTAACCGCTACGTGCGAGCCACTATTCAATTTGTTAAAAAAGAATGTGCCGTTGCATTGGAATGAGGAGTGCCAACAGGCTTTTGACAAGATTAAAGATTATTTGCTGCAGCCTCCGGTCCTAGTGCCACCCAAATCGAGCCGGCCTCTGATCATGTACTTATCTGTGCTCGACGAAGCAGTAGGGTGTGTTCTGGGACAACACGATGATTCCGGAAGAAAAGAGCAAGCGATCTACTATCTTAGCAAGAAATTCACCCAGTATGAGTCTCATTATTCATTTATTGAGAAAAGCTGCTGTGCATTGGCCTGGGCGGCTCAAAAGTTGAGACACTACCTGCTAAGTCATACCACTTATCTCATATCCCGCTCCGATCCTTTGAAATACCTCTTGGAGAAGCCGATGCCAACTGGGCGCCTGGCCAAATGGCAAATGATTCTTTCAGAGTTTGACATTGTTTTCACTTCGCAAAAGGCCGTCAAGGGGCAAGCTATAGCCGATCATTTGGCAGAAAATCCAAAGGACGATGAGTATCAACCACTCCATACCTATTTCCCTGATGAAAAGGTTTTATTTGTTGGTGCCGTAGAAGATATGAGCGAGCGGTGCCCCGAATGGAGGTTGTTTTTTGATGGTGCCGCTAATTCTGTCGGAGCTAGAATCGGAGCAGTTCTTGTATCTCCAGAAGGGAAGCATTACCCCGGAGCTGCTAAGTTGCAATTCGCCTGTACAAACAATATGGCCGAGTATGAAGCCTGTATTTTTGGTCTTAAAATGGCTTTGGAAATGGAAGTTAAAGAGTTGATAGCCTTCAGTGATTCAGATTTATTTGTGCACCAAACGTTGAAACAATGGATAACCAGAGATTCCAAGATCTTGCCATACCATTGTAATTTGCTCAATCTGGCTAGACAATTTCAAAGTTTGGAGTTCAGACATCTCCCACGAGCCCGAAATGCATTTGCAAATGCCTTGGCCACCTTATCTTCTATGATACAATATCCGGATGAATTAGGAATCGAGCCTATCCGGATCCAACTCCAGGACAAGCCTGTTCATTGTTGGGTCGTGGACAAAACATCTGGCAAAAGCCCTTGGTACAATGATATTAAGGAGTTCATCAAAACCGGGTCTTACCCTCTAGAAGCTACTGCAAATGACAAGGGTTTCCTGCGCAAAATGGCCTCGAAGTTTTTCTTAAGCGGAGAGGTATTATACAAAAGGACCTCAGACTTGAACCTATTAAGGTGCATCGGTGAAGATGAAGCTCAATACATGATGAAAGAGGTGCATAGCGGTGTCTGCGGACCTTACATGAATGGACATTTGTTGGCGAAGAAAATTATGAGAACCGGGTATTTTTGGCTTACAATGGAACGCGATTGCATAGATTTTGTCCGGAGGTGTATTAAATGTCAAGTGCATGGCGACGTTATACGTGCTCCTCCCACCGAATTGCATAGCATGATTGCCCCATGGCCCTGCTCAATGTGGGGTATGGACGTGATCAGCACAATTGACCCTCCTGCTTCAAATGGACATCGATTTATATTAGTGGCAATTGAATATTTTACCAAGTGGGTTGAAGAAGAATCATTCAAGCACGTGACAAAGAAGGTGGTGGCAAATTTCTTAAGAGATCACATCATATGCCAATTTGGGGTGCCAGAAACACTGATTACAGACAATGCCAAGAATCTCAACAATGACATGGTGGACGGGCTATGCGAACAGTTCAAAATCAGACATCGCAATTCTGCCATCTATAGACCGCAGATGAAAGGAGCCGTGGAGGCCGTGAACAAGAATTTGAAAAAGATCATCCGCAAAATGATTGAAAAACACCGTGATTGGCATGAAAAACTTCCTTATGCACTGATGGCATATCGGACTTCTATTCGAACTTCAACTGGGGCAACCCTCTATTCGCTCATGTATGGAATGGAAGCTGTGCTGCCTGCCGAAGTCGAAATCCCTTCATTGCGAGTTTTAATGGAGGCCAAGTTGGAAGAGGCTGATTGGATAAAACAGCGTTTTGAACAACTGTCCTTGATTGATGAAAAGCGGCTTAATGCTATTTGTCATGGCCAATGTTACCAAAAGCGCATGGCCCGGGCCTACAACAAGAAGGTCCATTTGCGCACATTTGAAGAAGGCGACAAAGTGCTGAAGCGGATTTTGCCAGTGCAAGATGAGGCCAAAGGCAAATTTGCTCCGAATTGGCAAGGGTCATTCATTGTTCAAAAGGTATTACCTGGCGGAGCACTCATTTTGGCCGAAATGGATGGACAAACATTTCCTCAACCTATCAACTCGGATATGTGCAAGAAATTTTTCATTTGATTATGCAAAACTTCTTTTAGAAATTCGTGCAAATGATGAAATACAAGTCAGGCCATCTTCTTTTACACTTGAAACATTCAATCCCTAGTTGTCCCTTTTGAGCTATCAGACTAATAATTTTCGTTTGGCAACCCCTGGGAATTGCAAACCCCACACTGGGGCAAATTTATTATGAAAAAGAGATGAAAAAGAGAAAAACCCCACACTGGGGCAAATTTAGTGAGAAAATGCAATAAAAAATGCAAAGAGAGAAAATCCAATCAAACTGGGACAAAGTTTTCCTCAGTTTCGTTCAAAAATTGGAAATCATTTTAAAATGATGCAATCTCAAGTTATTTCACCATTTTTATTAAAATTTTTGCTTTCAAGCCACAACTTTCTTGAAAAACCCCACCTGATCTCATTACAAAAGCCCAAAAGTCCTGGCTTTCGTCACTTGTTGTATTTCTATTAGGAGGTTCGCTAATCACTGGCAAGTGATGTCCATAATGCCTTCACCTAAACTTATAAGGGAAGCGCATTTTACTGATACCAGCAATTTTCAACTCACACTCCTGAGTCGATCATGGTCGAGCTTTTCCATTGTTACTTAGGTGAAAACCCAAAAGGGCACCTCAAAAAAAAAAGGAAAAAAAAAGAAAAAAAAAGGAAAGAAAAAAAAACAAACAAAAAGCAAAAAGGGCGGGGGCAACTTTGGTGAAAACCCGAAAGGGCGCCAAGGTAGGGTTCTGCAGCGAACAAGCACGAGGAGGAGCAGCTGTTGACTTGGTTCATGCGGATTTCTCTTCGTTTTGTAACACTTCTGTCAAGATTGGATTTCGGAACAAAGATATCCAGAGATTCGAATATGTCATCTGTTGGCCAAAAGCCGTGCCTCACTTTGAATAGATATTCTTTTGCAAATACTTTCTTATAAAATTCATTTTCCCTCAATTATTGGCATTCATGATGTTTTCATGGTTTGGGCATGATTGATCGCGTTTGCGTCTTTTCGCATATTCATCCCTGCGTGATATATAAATTTATCTTGCATACACCATTTGTTTAATCATTGAGTTTTAATAAATGACAATCCCCGTGATTTGTGCAAAGCATACTTTGGATTCAATCATCTTGTGGAAATGGACGTGATTCAGCAGCGCCCGGTACACAGATCTCATAGTATGGCTAAAGGCATTCCTGGTCAGTCTGAGAAGAATCAGAAAGTCTTTGAAGTAATGAATCAAATTAAATCAGATACCACAACCGAAGTTGACAAAGACATCAAAGAACTCATGTTTACACGACCTCAAAGGGAACCGGTCAAATGATGGTGGCAATTTCCTTATCTTTTCTCTTTTGCAGAAAATTTCATACATGAAGAAAAACGATCACACCTCGTACTGGAGTCGGTATCGGAAAGATTTCTAGCAAACAAAGGTAGATCAGAAAAGCCGCAAGCAGGTTTGAGCAAAGACACAACAAAACGGTAAGCACACTGGATATTTCCCGATTTTAAATTTCGTGTTGGGGTCAGTCCCCTCGGGTCAGTCCCGATTTTTAAATTTCTGTCTCGGATCAGTCCTGATTTTAAATTTCGTGTTGGGGTCAGTCCCCTCGGGTCAGTCCCAATTTTTAAATTTCTGCCTCGGGTCAGTCCCGACTTTAAATTTCATGTTGGGGTCAGTCCCGATTTTAAATTTCATGTTAGGGCCAATCCCCTCGGGTCAGTCCCGATTTTAAATTCCTGTCTCGGGTCAGTCCCGATTTTAAATTTCTCGTCCGAGTCAGTCTCATCAAAGGGGCCCAGTCCTCATTTCAAAAGAAACACTAGTCATTCGGCTGGTTTGCAGGTGAGTATTTGGTGTCTATTTTTTTGTCTCAAGTTTTTTCAAAACTCAGACAAAGAGGGGCAAACTGTAGACACCAAATTTTTAAATATTTTTACCCTAATTTTAATTTTAATTTTTTAGTAATAATTCTTATCTATTATTTTTGTTCCATGATTTTAATTCTTAAACTTTTAACATTTTTGTATAGCATTTCAGTATTTTTAGATTATCATTATCTATTATCTATTATCTTATTTTTATTTTTGCATTCATTTTTTACTCTTTTAGCTATTTATTTTTTTATTTTTTTATTGTAAGACTTTTTAGCATAAAATTTGCAACAAAAAAAAGAGAATTAGGGAAAAATATGTTTTATTTCTTTTTATTAAAAAAAAAAGAGAGAAAAAAGAAAAAGAAGAAAAAGATGAAAATTTTAGCTTATTATTATTTTTTTTTATCTTTTGGTTACTAATTTTGTACATTTTGTTTAAGTTTGTTTGAATTATTATTCTTGTATTATTGTTATTTAAATTAAGTTAAAAAAAAGAAGAAAAAAAAAAGAAAGAGAGAAAAACCACGTTTCGGTTTCGACCGCAGTAGAAAATGGCAGCTACATTTCTTAGCTATTTTTGGCCTGGGGTTGGCTCCGTTCGATGGTGAGAGTACAAGCCATCTGGCTTCATCCAAACCATTGTTGATAGGGTTGAGTTTTGGGAGCCATATAAAAGAAAGGGGACGACTGGAGAGAATGGGAGGGAGAGCAGGAGTTGCGGCGGAGTAAGGAAACAAGAGAGAGCGGAGGCTTTTGAAAACTAGGGAGGTGACGGCTGAGAAAAAGGCGATGGAAACAGAAAACACTGGAGAAGAGAGTGAGGTGCGGCGGCTAGGTTAGGAAGAGAGGAGTGAGCTTCATCTGGGGCTGGGAAAACGAAAAAGAAGCAAGATTTCAGAGCTGGGCAAGAGGAAGGAGAAAGTAAGAGAGGGAAAGAAGAGCTCGGAGTTGCAGTCAAGAAAAAAAGGGCAGCTTTGAGAGAGAAGGAGAGATAGGCTGAGAATCTAGTTGGACGGGCCAGAAGAGAGAAAAGCCGAGAGCAAGAGGGAGACTTGGAAAAATTCTCGGAGAGTAAAAGGAAAAATCTGGGCAAAGGAAGTGGCGGAAAAGAGGACCAGAAATTTCCAGATTTTTGCGTGGTCTTCATCAGAGCCAATAGCAAGTCCCTTTCGATTTCCGCGGAGAACGATCATCTTCAATGCTCACGAGCTCCACATATTCGGTGTTAAGGTCTTCAAGGTAACCCTTTCTTTCCACTTTCCCGCACTTACATATACTCAGATTTATATCCTACGCTGATTGGGGTCTTGGTTTCATGGTTTTGTTTTTCTGTGCCTTTGGTGATTTCTTTTTCATACGTTGTTGGTGCAGATCTCTGCCTTATCTCCTTGCATCTGGGTTTTGTGTTAGCATGGATCATTGAGACCTTTTTCGCGTAGAAATTACCTCATGTTTCTTGTAGTTAGCAACAAACCCATTCCATTGGTAAAAAGTTTCGTAAACAAAAATCTGGTTTTCGCAAGCTGTTTCTCCAACCTAGATTTTCGTACTTCTGGGTGTTTGGTATTGAAACCTGATATTGTGTGTGTGGAAGTCTTTCTATAGTATATGACGAATCCATGAAGCTTGCGTTTGATGTTGATGGCTGATCTTTGTGTGTTTGAATAAACAAATCCAGAAAATGGCGGAAAACTTTGGGCAATTCTGTTCGATGTTTCCTTATTGCCATTTGTGTGTGGTAGTATATTTGTGACGCCCCGCAAGAAGGAGGTTTTCCTTTGGTAGAAATCTTTGTTGGACAAGTGGAGTAAAACAGTTTTTCAACTCGGATAAGAAACGAAAAAATTTTGGAAAAAGGAAAGGGCCAAATCCGGCCGGAAATCCGGCCAGAAACTGGCCGGGTAGCTAGCCGGATTGCCTTGCAATTTTGAAAAAAAAATGGTTCAGTCTCGGCCTCATATCCGGCCAGAAACTGGCCGGATTCTGACGTGGCATAGCCGGTCAGCAGTTTTGACTGGCTGTTTCCTTGATAAATATCTTGTTTTGGCTGCTTTTGCTCTTCATTTTTGCCCCTGCTCAACCGAGCTTCATAGAGAGAAAACTCTCAAATTTCCTACTTTCAATCTTTGCAAATATCTTGGGTTTCAACCGATGGTTTTGGAAGCTACTTCACACAAGGGTTTGCTATGGTGGATTAAAGCTTGTGATGGATGGGTTTTGAAGGGAAGCTCTAGGTTGATAGCTCTCTTGAATTTGAGGTGAGTTGAATAAACAAGTTTCTTTTGGTTCTAATATTGGTTAATTAGTGGTTTGTAGTGGCCATGTGTATTATTTTGTGGAGTATTTCATGGGTTTGAGATAAGTTGGTCCAATTTCTGATTTATTGGATATTTTTCTGATTTACTATGATTATGGTTAGTTGGCTTGAATTGATGGATTGAAATGGTGTTAAATGAAGTGATTGTGCGTTAATTGTGATCGTTTGCGAAAAATTTACGCTTATGGTATAATTTCTGGTTTTAGGGTTTCAATTTGGGAATTTTTCCAAGGTTGGCTTATGAGCTTCTAATTGGCTCAATTGAGGGGTATTAAGGCCCTAATTGGATATGTTTTATCGTTTGTGAATTGTATGAGCAATTGTGGTTAATTGCTATGTGATTGGGTTTGTTTGTAGGTTGGAAAAATAAAGGAATTAAGGGGAAATGCTGTCCGATTTTGGATAGCGTTGGTTGCTTTGAGATAAGTTAAACGGCTTGGACTTGAACGAAGAATTGGCTATATTGGACGAGGATTGTGAGCCGTGGAGGTGAGTGACCTCAAACGAATTCCAACGTTACCTTTGAAATGTTTCTTGCATCGTTTCTTTGATTGCATATCCTGTGTGCCGGCATATAAGTTCTTGACATGTTTTGGCTCAAATGAGTACTTGGAATTCGTGTGCTGGACCCCAACGTCTCCTCCACCGTTTAATGTTCCTGTAGAGCGCCAATGGGCTCT